CCAACAAGGGTTGTGCTTGATTAAACTGTGCTGAGGTTCAAATTTTTCTTTACTAATAACTCTTTTTCTAAACAAAAAATTGTTAAGTCTAAATTGCATAACATAAACTATAACAAACTATCAAATGGAGTGGACTCTAAATGAGGCTTTCAATTTGGTGATTTGTATTTTGTAATATGATAAAATTTAAATTTCATTTGAGAATGCATCGTAGTTGTTTTAGGTTTTTTTTTAATCTATTTATTATCTTAAAAGTGTATAAAATATTAATTAAAATATATATTAAATATATTTTATATATTTTTGTGATATTAAAAAATGAAAAAAAGGCTACAGGGCAGTACTTCTAAACCAAGCTTTAAACTGCAAGGCACCAAACTAGCTAGTTTCTGAATTAGCTTGTTTTAGTTAATTGTTTCATTTATATTTTGAATTGATAAAGATTCAGAGGATGGCCAAAAGGATGAAGGTTTTAAGTCAAGAATTTCATCAGCATCATTACTTATGATAATGGAAGATGGAATCCGAACTTTCATGAATTTTCTGAGGGCAGACAAAGAAAAACCTTGCCAGAAGATCAAATCCTTCTTCGGGAGGACAAGAAGAGGTTCAGTAGACCCAACTCTTCTCGATCTTATGAAAAAAGTTAATAAAAAGGTTGGTCCAATTAATTCCTTCTTGTAATTATTTTAGCCCTGTTTGTTTAACTATTATGGTAATTAATTACCCTTCATTTTTTTAATGTGTAGAAAAAAATAAAGCTTAAAGATCTCCGGCGAGCGCGGAAATGCATAAGAAAAAGAAAATTAACGGTGGAAGAAGAGATGGAGATCTTGATGGGTCTAATTGACTTAAAAGTGGTGTCAAGGGTATTGAGAATGAGTGACCTAAGTGAAGAGCAGCTGCACTGGTGTGAAGAGAAGATGAGCAAGGTGAGAGTTTTGGATGGGAAATTTCAGAGAGATTCCTCCCCACTTTTTTTCCCAGCACATTGAGATTTGAGATCCACCAAAGCAAAGAATGTGGCTTGATGACTACATAATGAATGTGCTTGGATGCCGCACAAATGAATATCCTAGGGAACTTTTTGTAAATACAGTAAGATATGTAGGATGGAGGGCCCTACAAATCATCAAAGTAAGTTCATGTGGGGGTGACATAGAACAAGAGTAAAGACAGGGAGGTTTTGTGGTTTTCATGAAGAATGAAAGTGAAAGAGCAGAGACAAAGCAAAGAGCATAGAGGGTAGCTTTATTATGCCTTTTCTTTTTGTAAATTAGGGTTTATCTTTAGGGATTTGGAATGACCCAAAATAAGAGAAGGACAGAGGAATAAAAGGTAGCACATGGCACGCTCAAAGCTGGGTAGTCAGCGGTGGTAGTAGCCTTATGTGACCCCACTTAGACTGGGAAAAAGAAGAGGAACTATAATAAATGGGTATATCAACCGTTGGTTCAGAGGTGAGTCCAAAGGAGAATAGATGTTTTTTATGTTCATGACTCATGGAAAAGGTAGTCTTGGAATCGACTATCATTAGAAAATTTGAATAGCATCAGTATTCACTTATATAAATTATATAAATTAAGTAGGCTGTAATAATATGCTCTCTCAATAAGCTTAATAATATGTTTTTTCTTGGGATGCTGTTACACACTCTGTTACACACACTTCTCCTCCATTGCTATCTCCGTTATTATCCGTTACTCTCCTTTATTTTACATTAAGCAACCTTCCTTTCTCTCTCTCCTTTCCTTTCTCCTTTTTACTGTTCACCATCCTGCTTGCTTTCTAATCAAAGCCATTGAAATCCCTCAAAATCCCTCTGGATGATGAACTGAAAACATATAAAGAAATCATGAGAATCATCAGCCTCTTGACCTTAGAAAACATCTCTCCTCTTCACCTAGCATTGGTTGTTTGATTTTCAACCTTCTTCCTTCTTTTCCCTCCTCCTCTTTTCTTTTTCTTCTTCTTTCCCTCTTGTCCCCTCTTATTCCTTCTCTTCCTCCCTCCTTGATTTGGGTTCTGGTGAACCCAGGGTTCTCGGGTTCTAGAGAGAACCTAGGAGGGAAAAAAAAAAAAAGGTTAAACCCCCTTTTTGGTCCCTCAACTATTGTACGGACCCCCGATTTGGTCCCTGAACTCAAAAAATCCTTGACTTAGTCCCTACTGTTTACCGTTTTTACCCCAATTTGGTCTTTCCGTTAAACATCTCTCCACTTGTACTGTTAATTCACGGTAAGATGATGACATGTCAAAATTTTACTCCACGTGAAAGACAACATGGCAAAAACTTGTGACATGGCAATAAAAATTTTAAAAATTATTTCTCCTTCCTCATCCCCTTTCTCCTTCCTCTTCATTTCCTGGACCCAGAGCCTAGGATCGTCGAACCCAGGCGATGGGATCCTTCAAACCCAACTGGGCATTCCTCGTTCCCTTTCTCCTTCCTCTTCCTTTCCTTCTTCATCAATCAATTCATCATCATCATCAAACAACACCCACAAAAACTTCATCAATCAACTCATCATCATCATCAAACAAAACCCACAAAAATACAGAAATTATTTATTTATTTTTTTGTTGAAGAACCTAAGCCTGGGTTCATTCGAAGAACCCAAGCTTGCTGGGTTCTTCAAACCCACGCTTGGGTTCTTCGAACCCAGGCGTTGGGTTCCTTCGAACCCGCACCTAGGTTCCTTCGAAGAACCCAAGCGTGGGTTCTTCAAATGGGTTCTTCGAATGGGTTCTTCGAACCCAGCGCCTAGGGTTCGAAGAACCCAAGCTTGTGAACCTAGCAACGGCCGTTGGTGTTTGCCGTCTAGGGTGTGAATGGCAAGAAGGAGAGAAGATAGTGGTTTTTGCAGTAGGTGGGCCCCACATTTTTTTTTTGTTGGTTGAAATCTGATGTGTTTTAATGACATGGTATTGATCTCTAATAATATTTTGACATGTCATCATTTTCCGTTAGTTAACTGGACACATCATTGAATTTTTAACGGAAGGACCAAATTGGGGTAAAAATGGTAAACAGTAGGGACCAAATCAAGGATTTTTTGAGTTCAGGGACCAAATCGGGGGTCCGTACAATAGTTGAGGGACCAAAAAAGGGTTTTAACCAAAAAAAAAGAAGAAGAAGGGGGGAAGAAGGAGAAAGGAAAGGAGTGAGAAAGGAAAGGAGTGAGAAAGAAAAGGTTGGGTGAGTGGAAGCCGTGACTGCATGTAACAAAAAACGTTAGAGAGTGTAATGAGTGTGTAATGAAATGGTGTGGATGAATCATTTCCCTTTTTCTTGAAAAGTCTTACTTGTACCATACCTTGAAAATGTTTTACAAAGTCACATGTTATTACAAGTTTTCAATCCTCATTTATTATTATATATATGGACTCTTTTCATTCAAAAGCCTATGATATGTGTTGATAAAAAAAAAGAGCCTATGATACTATAAATATTATGTTGTACCTATGATTTTGATGATTACAAAACACATTTGAATGACTAATTGGTTTATTTAAGTGTATAGTTAAGTTGCTAAAAGATTGCAAGTAAACTTGGATTGTACTAAAAATAGACCAAAAGGATTCAAAATGGTAGAGAGCCGGCTCTTAGAAGCTGCAGCCGGCTCTGGTGAAATGGAAGTGCAGAGAGCTGGCTCTGGAAGCTGCAGCCGGCTTTACGGGCAAAAATTTGAAGAACGTTGTTTGGCATGCGCAGAGAAAAGACGCAAAGCGGCTCCAACTTTATAGCCGGCTGTGAAGGTGCAGTTAATGCACAACGGTCGAGTCATTTGAAGATTATTTAATGTATTTAAAGTCGGAGTTGCAAAGTCTGCTCAAAGTTTTGCAGCCGGCTCTCGAGAAAAACAGAATGTGCTGCAAACCCGGATAGCCGGCTCTGAAAGTGTGAGCCGGCTCTGTAAAGGTAAGCCGGCTCTCCTGACAATTCTGCAGCTCGAGGTTTGCGTCCTGCAGAGCATTTAATGACCCCCAATGGCTAGTAACGGCTATTTTCGAGCAAGGGGCTATAAATATAGTTGGTAACAGATCTGAAGAAGTTTAGAGAGCATTGTATTGAATATCTTTATGAGCTTTAACTTGAGTTTTTGATCTTTGAGAGATTTTTGTTTGTAATCCTCTTCTTGTGCTATTAGTGAGTGATCTTGGGGATGTGTTGATTCCTTCAAGAGTGATTTGTAGAGAGGATCTTTGGGGTTAAAGTGTAAAGGAGTGAGATTTGAGAGAAACCCTTCTTCTTGTAAATGATTGAGTGGCTCCTTTAAGCCACCATTGTTTTTGCTAGTGGAGAGTGTGGAGGAAATTCTTGGTGAGTGAAGCCAAGGTAAAGGACTAGGTTCCAAGTGGTTGGACCGAACCTCTATAAAATCATTGTGCTATCTCTTCTTCTCAACTCTCTCTTTAATTTTTGTTTGGTGGTTGCAAAGAGGCGAAAATTCTCCAACTCCAATTCACCCCTCCTCTTGGAGTGCATTGAGTCAACATATTCATCTATTTAATGAAACATTTAAAATTATAAATTTATAATCTTATAAGATTATATAACTATGTCACTGTCAAACCCTAAACAAGTTTAAAATGTAGATACTTATCCACTATGTCATCGCTAATTTTTTATCTGAACACATTTCTATGACATGAATAGAGCATATAATCTCTGTGAGAACACCAATATGCATTGTGATAATTACCAGACTGTTAAAAGTGCATGCAAAACTTATTCATGAAGTTGACATTCAAAATTTTGTGTAAACTTTGTATAGAGTTTGGTAATACAATTTACTTTGAATAAACAAATTAATCTAATATAAAATTAAAACAAATTAATTATGCTTATTGAGGGTGCAAACAATGTTTTTGGGCTCAGCTTGGTGGCTGACCTGTTTTGGCCACTGGGTTCGATTGAACCAGTTCAATCGGTTCAACCGATTGGTCCAACCAATAAAAAAAAACCTTTTTTTACATATTTATTAGACTTTATTATTATATATTATTTTCATTCTATTCTTAAGAAATAATTATTCTAAGATCAATTTGAAAATCATAATTTAAGTCATTTAAAATAATATATTTAATTAAATACATATTATTTTTAAAATTTAAATTAATAAATATTAAAATACATAATATAATATAAACTTTTTGTAAAATAATAGATAATAATTAAATACATATAATTATGTATGGGTATTAATTGTTAAAATTTACTACCCATACATAATTTTTACTTCACAATCTTTTCCAATAAACTAATGTTTCATTTGTATAATTGTAATATTTTTTAAACTTTACATTTTCATGTCACATCCCTTCAATCTTGTTACATCCCTTCTTCCTCAAAAGTCCAATTTCACGTGCCTCTTCAGCCCCCATTCCCAACTTCAGTCCTTCGGCTTTTCACTTTTCAAATCAATTCCTTTCTAATATTCTTTCTTTTCTCAAAGTTTTATTATGGAATCAACAAAACAGCATCAAGCATTTGTCAACTACGGCTTCTTCTTATCAACCTTGTTTACAAGATAGCTGTGTTGATGATAATCGGAACTGTAGTGATTCTTTGGAGGGAGATGAGGTTATAACTGTCGATCAATGCGATAAGATTC